AAACAAAGTGCATGAAATGCTTTCATTATGTTGTAATAATTAAGAATACATAAAAGATCCATACAGAGAAACTGTCAATTGTATTTCCAAACCGAAAGAGCATAATCTATAATTTTAATCAAATGTAAATATTAAGATCGTATGAAAAATTTCACACAAACAAACTTGAAAGAATATTGTTAAGTTTGTTATATTTATAATTTTAAAAAATGAAAAAAGTATGTTGTTTCATTTTTACAGATATCCCAACTTTATTTTCTACGACTTGTTAGGGTTTTTGTAAATATGTTTGGTTATTTTTTTATTTTGCTAGGACATAAAACTACAAATTTGAACTTTCCCAGCATTGCAATTCCGTGGTTTAATGTGGTACCAACAATAAATATGCATTACAAAAAATCAAAGTATGCTTGATAAAATATGTAGCAAATTAGTGTATGTTTTGAAAATTGGTATTAACAGTAAGACCTCACTAAAAGGCTGAACGCGAGTGAAGTGTGAACTCGGTAAACAAAATCATTCCATGGTCATACTGAAGTTGCCATTGAAGATCACTTGCTGTGAGATAAAGACATTTAAGAATACTTTTACTGCCAAAACAGGTGCAAAAAAAAACCAAAAACGAGGGCACCTACACATCCCGACATGTCTTAAACTGATAACAACCAGACACTCTTAATGAAGCCTTTGGTCAGTTGTTCATATTTCGAAATTAATTAAGAGTGTATCGGCACTATTAATAGCACATGTCATTACATATATATGATGAGGGCTGCCATCATCAGGGGTTCACCTTATGCGTAAATCAATCCAATTCTCTGAACCTCATTTGATTTTAATTTGGATATCCTATATTCTTGTTTGATGTATGCCACCATAGAGGTTGTTGTGCATAATTCTTTGCAAACATCATCATCTAGTATGCAATCCTAATATTTCATAAGTCGCTTATCCCTTTTTTATACATGGGTTAAACTTGGTTACCAGAACGTTGGGCACAGTCTTTTTGTTGTTTTTCTTGTTTGATTATTAAGAAGGTCCCTTCTATTAGCAGAAATAGTTTTCTGCATAATAAGTTCAATTTCTGAATGTTGATATCCTGTGGTATTGGTGAGAGTCTCGTAAACAATTTACTGGCTGCCTTGAACCTCCCTAACATATCCCCAACCACCCTAAATAGAAGGGAACGAGAAGCAGCATCTGCATTTGAAGCAGTTGCTTCTGAGACACGTAGTGATGCAATTGCAGCTGAAAGTATAAAGTGAAGAAAATTTATTTTAATAGTGTTTTGGTACAAAGGTAAGAACATGCAGAATTATAGCATAATTTACGTTTATTACATAAAATTTATACTTTGTAATGCATCAAATTAAACTTAAAGATACATACATTTCCTTTTCTGCTTCATTTGAAAGAAAGTTATGTTTGTTCATTGGCAGTTGTCAAAGTGAAGATGACAAGGCTATATCCTTGATGCTGACTGGCAAACTAGAGGAAGTGGAAGGAACTAAGTATTTTGTATTGCGCCCGTTGAAAATCAAACACCACAAAGTATCTTCCAAGAGAAAAGGGCGGATGCAATGGCTTTTCCAAACCTTTATCCAGATGGCAAATTTGGATTGTTTGAAGATCGACCCATTTAAACTGACCCCTACAAAATACTTTAATGCCCGCTTATTTTGCGCTGACAGGAGATCCGCAAGAGATACCCAGTTCATCTTCTTTGCTCAATTTATGACTGAAATGTCAAATATTCGATCAAACATACCAATAGCTTTGCGCAAATGAAAAGAAAACACTGCTGATGGAGGAAAAGTAACGGCGTCAATGCTTACTAATGATTGTGATTTACAGAAAATTCTGAAATCAGATGCTGGTTTTCGTTTTTTACAACCTGTACGAGGTTCACATCCATTTTGGCAAAGAACAATAAAGGATCTGTACGCCATGATTAGACAATTAAGAATACCGACATGGTTTATAACGTTTTCCGCTGGTGAAACAAGGTTGGATGATACAATTAAGGCACTACAAGACACTGAAGACCCAAGGTCATTAAAGACATTGAATGGACAGAAAAATGCCGCCTTATAAAAGAAAATCAAGTGATGTGTGCCCGATTATTTAATAACTGTGTGCAGACTTTTCACAGATTTAATTATGTCTCCATCAAAACCAGTCGGAGACGTAGTGGATTTCTTCTATCGCACAAAGTTTCAGCAACGCGGTTCTCCGCATATCCATTGTTTATTTGGGTCAGAAATGCGACCAAGTTAAACGAAAACACGGAGGAAGAAATTTGTAGTTTTGTTGATAAATATATATCATGTTCCATGCCAAATGAGGTAATAGATTCCAAACTACATGATATTATATAAATGCTGTACAGGTTCATAGTAAATCACACACTACGTCCTGCAAGAAAAACTCAACAACATGTCGATTCAATTTCCCAAGGCCTCCAGTACATGACACTTTTCTTATAAAAGTCACAGAAGATGACAGTCAAAAGAAGGAGGTGGAAATGAATCAATCTACAAACACAAACAGACCAACACTTCAGGAAGTTAAGCAGCTATCCAAGCAAACCGAGAAATCTCCGAAACAAATTGTTAAAGATGTATTGAATAAAATCAATTCCGACGGATCAATTCGACGGAAACTGACGCAACATTTGAAGACATTCTGCATGCTTGTAATATCACCTATTCCAAACTTAAAGAAAGCTTGACTGCAATTACAAGGAAAATCACAATACATTACAAAAGAAATATGTTGGCTGGGTGAACAATAATAATCAAACCTTACTACGAGCATGGAATGCATACATGGACATTTAATACGTTATGGACCCTTACTCATGTGTGGCCTATCTATTATCATATATTAGCAAAGCAGAGGCCGAAGTAAGTGAACTTATAGCAAATGCACAAAAAGAGGCAAGGGAGGGCAATAAAGATGCTGTGTCTGCAATGAAACATTTTTCTCAGGTTTACATCCAGAGAAGTTATATTCATTCCCACAGGAAGCAATGCAATTAAAATGAATCTTCCTTTTTCAAAATATTAATCCGTTTACAATATTGAAGTATTTGCAAGAAACTGATTTTTACTGTAAAATCTAAATTAATGTATTTTAATGAAATTCATTCTTAAGTATTTTAATTGAACAGCTTTACATTTTTAATTTTGAGGTCCGTCGGATGGGACGTTAAATGGTGCCCCGTGTCAAGGATTACAACCCCCTTGGCACGCAAAAGATCGTTTCCCTCATTTTCGAAAAAGAGTAGGCTCATTGGGGGCCGTCAGAGAAACCCAAAACTTTAAAAACTGGTCACATGATTTACTTTTAATTGCCGATATATGGCTGAAATATTGCAATCTAAAACTTCATTTTAAGTTCATTTTACGTACATGTACATTTTTTTGGTTCTGAATTAATCAGTTCATAGAGAATGCATCATTGTAATTGCTTTTTATACACTCTTAAATGCGTATATTAAAAAAAAAAACAAAACAAAAATAAAGTGAACAGCTAAGAAAAAATGATGCACCCAGATCTTGTACGATGACAGCATTGAGAAAGATACTTGAGCAACTGACTCAAGTACAACAACAACTATCATTGGGAAATTTGAATCGAAATGGAATGATATAGATCAACTACATCTGAAGGATATTAAACCTGAGAGAATAATAAATCAGAGTATGTGATAATCCATGCAGTCATTTCCTTTATATATCCAGGATTTGTTTATTTCTATCGCATTTCCTTTATATATCTAGGGTTTTTTTTATTTATATTGCTTTTCCTTTATATATACAAGTTGACACTAATGGGCTTCCGTGGTCTCTGGTCAAAAGGTCCATTTTTTCCTGAAGTCTAGTCAGCCTCAAACTGGGTAAGGAACAAAAGAAAAATGTTACGTGGGAATTTACAAACAGTAGAAAAGAGTAGACATGGAGTTGACATTCATTGCAAACCCCTTTTACAGACGCTTTCCTCACAGGATGGTCTTATCTGAGCAAGCAATCTAAGTAATATATTTCTTATCTTGGTTAAATTTCTCACGATTTTCTCAGAATATTTAAAGTACGACTTAATAACTAGCTTCTTTTCTCACAAAAGTGAGCTCGTTCAAATATTGGCTCGTGGTCTTGAAATAAACCTGTGTAACCGGTTTCAAAATGGTAAAGTGGGCTTGGGATCGAATTATATGAGGCCTTAGACTGGTATTGCCTGTCTTTACCGTACGCAGGAAAAGACAGGTGATCACCGCCATTAAAGCCAGGGATTCCTGGCTTGAGTGACGCGCCATCTATCGCCGCTGCTCTACGATACAGCATGGGAAATAATCACACAATAAAGCGATCTGCTGACTCAGTGGGTGAGCTTTAAACCGATTTATGTTTCCTGCGGTAATTAAATATGTCAATTCTAATAAACAAAAGTAGTTTGCAGAGTTGTTGCAGTTCTCTTTATCCACGTATGTGATAGGGGTTTGCTGATCTGTTACATTACGCCTGAAAATTTAGAATAAATTCAGCGAAGTGAAATGACTTGTACATGGTAGGCCTAGAATGAAATGTTTAACACTCCTGTGAAACAAAAATTTGAGAAAAAGGAATACTTGTATTGTATGTGGAAATATTAGTGACCGTGTTCTAATAAGTTTAAGACATGACTGCATGGATGTTAGGATGCCGTCGTTTTTTTTTGCACTATTAATATTCCATCTATTGTTACAACCCTGTCTCCTTATTTTGCGGATTGTTCCTCTATGATGGAATTTCAGTGGTGAAACAATTACAATCTTTGTATCAAATATTTTGGGCAGCACCTCGTAAATCAAAGTTTTTCCGTAGCCCGTCGGTGAAACAACACGGTATCGTAATTCAACGCACTTTTAATACTTCTGCCTTGCAAAGGCTTTAGAAAATTTAATGTTGAATATTTTTCACAATTTATTTCTGCCAATGCAATTTTCCTACGCAAAGAATCCGGCTTATCGTTGAATGGACTGAACCGCGACATCAGAAGATCTTTTTTCAGAAAAAATTGTGTCAAGTTGGCAGTCACTCCAACATGTGAGTACGGATAGAATTCCTGAGCTGTTGGATTCAGGGGGACGTTATTGACATTACGAATGGCAGGTTTAACTGGTGTCTTCACATTGGTTTGTGATAAAGTGTCTCTAGCATCTTTGGTATCCTCTTTGTCCATGTGATCCTTTTTATTCAGTTGTTCAAAGAACACATAATCACTCTTTGCTTCACTAAACTTTTAATGTTCACTAACATAGTTTGCTGTGTATTCTCGTTTAGTTGCACGTAACGAATCATTACTGTCTAAAGGATGTCGTTCCGGTAATGAAGGTACATATATTTGAGATCCTTGATCCTCAAGGCCATCTATTTCCGCTTTCAATGAATCTACATTCTTCTGACACTCTAAGAGTCTTATTTTGGCTTCAAGTAAGGCTTTCTGCTTCTGGAGCTCTGTTTCCTTTTCAGCATACTGGAGTTTCTTTAACTGTGTCATAGTACCCTGTTGTTTTTTCTCAGATGCCGAGGAACGACGACTGCTGTTTGAGATAGAGAGTTCAGATCTTGTTTCAGATTTCTCGGAAAATATTTCAGCAGCATCTATAAGCAAGTCTTGAATCTGATGATCAAAGTTATTAATTACACTAACACATTTCTTGTGTCGAATTATCTGGTTGTCCATCTCTGAATCACCTTCATCTGTACGAGAGCGTCTGAGAAAGGAAATGAGGGTCTCATAACTTTCCATGTATTCAGATTTGGCTTTCTCGAATTTCTCTTCAATTTCCCGTAGATACTTGATATCTGAGCGAGAGTCATCAAATCCTGTCAAGATTGCTTCAAAAACTCTCCAGGCTTTCTTGAGGGTGCTCAAGTAGGACTGCAAGTTGGCTTGGTACAACTCGTGGCCTCCTGGAGTTAACGTGCGTACTCTTCCTTCCATCTCTGACATCGCTGTACACTTTCTTTACTATTCTGCCTGTATATTGCAGATAGTTAACCACACACAACAATCAGTGCATCGATTTTATTGTGATAACGGTAAAGAACTGAAACAAAACAAAAGCAAAGAATTACTCATCAATTACATGATAAATAATGTCACTATATAACTACAGATGTAGCATTAACTGTGTAAGTTGTAAATAAACAATATCCAAAGACTAATAGAAAAAAGATTCGCTATTAAACCAAAATGTAAAGTTTTGACACAAATGGGTTTCCATAGAAAAATGTTAATAACGTACTCGCAGTTTATATTTAAAGATAATGACAATAACGGGATTCCATACTTTCCAGATTTAACAATAGATTTTCATAATAAACAAATTACACACATTTCATACAAAAAGACTGCAGATATAATAAGTATACACGTAATAAACAAAAATAGTACAGGTTTACTTACAGTGTGTGGCAGCTCAAGTCAAAAAAATGAAGAAAATATAGCATGGTCTCTATGTGTGGGTCACACAGGAAATGAACACAGGAAGTGAGGATTTTAGGAAAAATAACTCCAAAATTACAAATAAAAAAGATAACTCTTGCAATTATGACAGATAACAAATGGATAAAGAAAGATAACTCTAGCTCTAAAAAAACATACAAAATTAAATGTTGATAAACATTACACTCCCCGTCTGATATCGAATGATATCACTATGAACCTAGTAACGTAAAAAATGTAAAAAATGTTCAAATATCAAATTGCAGTCTTTAAGAATCTGGAACATTGTTACATCGCAATCAGAAGGACAGTCTCCGTGACTGGGCGAGTATAATACACGTTGGTACCGTCTCTATTTACACGAAGTCTTACTTTACGGACTTTGTCGTCAGATTCACTCGGATACACTTGTTCCACCATTGCCATCTTCCAGTCACAACGATGCACTGACCTATCCTTCAGTAACACAACATCACCAACGGATAAATTCCTCTGATTGTGTGCCCACTTCCTTCGACTTTGTAGCGTAACTAAGAATTCTTTGTGCCAACGTTTCCAGAATAGGTCTGCAAGTAGCTGAACTCTGTTCCACTGTGCCTTGAATGCCTCTTTCTCATCAAAGTGGTTCTCCGCCTTTGTCCGTCTTCTGGGTCAGAAGAGTGCATGGCGTAAGTATGAATGGATACTCTGGGTCCGTTGAAACTGGCACTAGTGGTCTTGAGTTTATGATAACAAAATTACAAATAAAAAAGATAACTCTTGCAATTATGACAGATAACTAATGGATAATGAAAGATAACTCTAGCTCTAAAAAACATACAAAATTAAATGTTGATAAACATTACACTACGGCACCTTCAATTTCATGAACTGGTGCATTCCTACATAGAATCTCTAAAAGAGCCACCCAACCCCTGCTACACACCTGGTCACCTATGAAGACAGTTACATTCATCACATCATCGACCATCTTCTAATATTGTTTCTCCCAAACCAACACTTGCTGTACAAAGTAAACCAGAAACTCTAAACCAACCGACGTTAAATGATGTAGGCTGGTGGGGGAGGGGGGGGGGGGGTGACGTCAAAAATACAGCACCCGACACATTAAATGATGCAGGATGAACATACACGAAGACCTTCCTCATTTTTGGTTTTCTTTCACGCATTAACTCCTTTTCCTCAACAAGTGCTTCGAGGTTGTAATCATAAATACCTTCTCTTCTCTTCATTTCGTCGCCCGTGTGGCGCAGTGGTTAGAGCGTCTGCTCTAGAGTCGCAAAGTAAGGAGTCAATCCTTACGTCGCGGGTTCGAATCCCTCTGCGGGACGTGGAGACCGGTCCTTCGGATGAGACCGTATAAACCGAGGCCCCGTGTCGCAGTACGTGCTGGCACGAAAAAGATCCCTCCCTGCTCAATGGTCTTGAATGCCGAGTTTTGGACAAAATTTGAAGCTCTCCACCGGCAAGTGGAGGCGTCTTCATAAGAGTGAAAATTATTTGAGAGGAACGTTAAACAATATACAATCAATCAATCAATCTCTTAATTTAAAAAACAAATTCTGTTCTGCATTATTGCCTTAACATCGTCCTCACTTTTATGTTTTCTGATTATGTGCCTCCGGAGATTTCCTCCTTTAAATGTCTCCTTGCAATACATACAGTACCTTTCAGGCTTCTAAAATTAAAACAAAAATTTAAAAAATGAAATTGTAAAGTGATGTCATGTCATGCATTTTCCCTTATAAAACTAATAGTACCGTAAGATTCCCAATAGACTTAAATTCTCTATTATTAGAGATTAATCAGTTTTCCATAACAAAGGTGTGAGGTTATTGTCACGATACATACACAGACCCTAAACCGTGGTACTACACCACTCAAACAGTACGGTTCGGTACGCTTTGTGCATGAAACGGTTCGTTTTGTGAACGGTTCGGTACGCTTTGTGCACGGAACGGTTCGCTTGATGCACGGAACGGTACACTTTTTGAATGGTGCGTTTCGTTTCTTGCACGAAACGGTTCGTTTTGTGAACGGTACGCTTTGGGAATCGGTATGCAAATGAACTGGGCGGAGCCTGTTAGCTTTATTTTATTGATAGGCTGCTAAAAATAAGTTAAGGTTCATTGATTCTCTGATAAGAGAGATAACTCTTAATGACACAAATGTCTCTTATTCTTTTATAAATTTGTCAAGTTAAAGTGCCTTATTTGTCAAATTTTGCCCAGCAAGCCATGCTTTATAAATTGTTTGTATTTTATTCAGCATATAATTGTTTTGGAAAATCATAAAAGTTCAAGAAAATTTTTAAATTAGTGAGCAGAGGGTTTATGACCCTTAGTTTTAAATGACTTTTGAAGTACTTAATGCAGGTATATAATTATATATCCTTATTAACAAATTAATTTGATGACAGTGCTGTTTTTGATATGCTCAAAACCTTTGATGTTAACATCAGAATCGAAATAAAGTATGAAAATATTAGACACACTGAAACTCACCGCATAACCAATGTCTTGAACGGGAACAGATTTCTCTACATTGACCCGCTTCCCGATGGAAAATCTCTCCCGAGAAATGCCATCTGCCCTAAATTGAAATGCCGAATATACCACAAGAACCAGAATTCTATTAATCCCAAAGTGCAGTGTTACAACTGCTGGGAAACTGGACACAGGAAACAACAATATAAGAAGGGCAAAGTCTGTCGAGTCTGCAGGGAACCTGGCCATACTCCAGGAGCCACCGAGTGTCAGCACTACGTGGATTCGACAGATGTCAGTGATGTGGTGGTATTTCAAGGAATGAATAATCCCTCTCCAATTTCTTTCCGTGCGACATAAATGTTTTTTGGCTAAAAGCATAAATCTGCAGAGCACCCTTACCAACTGACCAAAGCAATTCGTGCTGGCGATCAAGAAGGTGAGAGAAGCAGATACGGCTTTAGAAGCTAAAAGGCTAGGGCATACCATATCAGATCCATTAGGATGAAACAACGATAAGGAGACAGTGATGGAGGAAATCGTTTGTTCAAAAGTTGACCAGATACCAGAAGTAAAAGCCAAGCTTGAAAACTCAACAAGTAACACCATTTTTTAGAGGGAACTTATGACATGCAGTGGGGCACAGGATTGGATAGTGAGGCCACATTGCACACTGATAATAAGAAATGGCCCAGGCAAAACAAACTCGCAAAAATCTACCAAAAATTAGCATCAAAACACGCATGAAAACTCAGAAGTTCTTCCCTTCCACGCAAAGGGACAAGTGAAAATCAGTCCAATATTGAGGACTTCCTGAAAAATCTCAAGAAAGGTTGCAAAAAAATACAGGTATCAATAGCAGGAGTGATGCCGGATAAGAACAGTAAGTCAACACAGTACAACACCCTTTCATGGACAATCCTACTTAAAAACTTTACTCTTTAAATGTTCGAGGGTTAAATACATGCAAAAAGAAAATATTACTTTTTGATTGGTTAAGAGATGCAAATTATGACATAATTTTCTTACAAGAAACTCATTTTTATAAAAGAATAAGAATCATTTTATAACTCTCGTTGGTTTGGACAAATTACGCATTGTTTTTCAGAATCAGCATACAGTAGGGGTGTATCAATTTTGTTGATAAAAAAATTCTAAAATAGAGATCTTAAATAGTTTTCAATCTTTAGATGGTCGAAGACTTTTATTAAATATTAAATATGAAAAAAAAGGTCCAAAGTATGCGGCGCAGTGTTGAACTTAAGCATCATTTTTGTTAAGAACTACAGAGGAATTCCCAAGCCTTTCTTATCAATGATATTGATCTAGATTTTATCAACATTTGATTCGGTCGCTATCTTACAAGAAGAAAAACTTTTTTTTCTATATAAATAACTTTTACAATCGGCAAAGCCATTTCAACAATGAGTAAAAAGACAAACAATGATAATTGAGTATAAAATATTTAATGTGAACACAAATCTGTATAGGAGCAATATTAGATAAACTGGCAAGTATTACTATAATAAAAATTATCATGTGAAATATGGTGATTCTCCATGTTCGTGGCATAGATGATCGTATTGGTATGGGTGTACATGCTCGGGACCTGCAAATAATAACTATGTTTTCCAACCAAATCAGAAGACCCTTCTCCATTGCTCTACAGCGGATGTCGAGATCGTGCAGACGTGGATGAAGCAATTCGTCAAGGTGTACTTTGGATATACAGTATCGGTGCAAAACTTCACCGAAGAGAATATTCAAGGTCTCAAACTACGAGATGTTTGTTTTCATCAAAATGTTAATAATCACCCCTAATGCAGTGGCTGTTTGGGATTCTGCCTGGTAAGTGTTTTGATCTTTTCCATGAAAAGCCGTTTGATTCTCAGCTAAGTCGATAAATAGTAGTTTTTCTTGTGATGAGGGATTTTACGTAGGAGAAAATCTAGTCAAGCATTTTTCTTTATATTGAAGAAGGATATGGAGATAATGAATAGTATTCAATATCAAATAAACAAGGGCGATGGCTGTACGACATTGTTTGATTTTGGCTTTGATGATCTTTTATAGAATTGATTCTTCTCGAGTTTCGATCATAGTCTTTTAAATCAAGATTGTTTTATTTTTCTTGAAGATCTTTACTAGGTCTTCACTACCGGAAAAATGCACTTCTTCACCTTTTTTATCACTGCTAAATATTGGACATCTTGATTGTCAATGGCAAATGCTGCTATTTTCTCTAACACTTTAAGTCCCCTACTAAGTCTTTTCCTCTTCACATCTTTCTGCCTTCTTTTAAAGTATGAGACTATCCCTGTTTTCTCTTTGTTCAAATTTTCCACTTTCTTTTATCTTTTCTACAACGAAATTTGAATACCAGTTGCTGCCAATAATGCCAGTATTTAAACAAGTTCAATACACCCTTAACAATGTTTACCAAAAAAATAAGCATCACATTACTTATTATCATCATTGTTGATGTTTTGTCATTTTTCGAAAGAAAATCATGTTAACTTGTTTATCGGATAAGGACAAAAAATATGTGAAAAATGTCAGACTCCTTACAAATCTACATGTTCAGCAAATTTGTCAGACTCAATAGCTGCAGGAGTATTGACAGTGGATGTCTCATCTTCTTTAGATTGGTGTGTTTGTGGAACACGGACAAATTGTGATCACAAAAGTTCAATGTAGCCTTCGGCTCAGGTAGGATAACAAAAGGAGGTCAAGTTTACAGAAAGGAACAAGGTCAAATGATTTAATACAACAGCATAGCTCCTATTAATATATATATCAGGATATTAAGTTTGATAAGAATAATCTTGAATGGTTTCCTTAAAATGAAGCTAACCACTAATTTTATAAAAGAAGGGTCTATATCAAAGGAAAAGTAAAGCATGGTGGAAATCTACACTTAGCATCATACAAAGTATTTATAGATCATTCATAGAAATTTGAGAGAGAGTGTGTGTGTGTGTTTACACCTACCAAAACTTTATATTTGTCTCTATCCTGTCCTTATCCTGCAGTATGTCTTCTAGCTTATCAACATCTCCCTGAGCTTTAAGAGGAAAGCACACGTCTCATTCT